CTCCTCGAAGAGCCAGGTGAAGAGGGGCAACAAGTTAGCCATGTCACAGGGAGGCAGAGCTTGTATGCTGCAAACATAGGAACTGCATATGCAAAGGCCCAGAGATGACACAGACTTGAAAATGCAATTTGCGATGGTTGATGCATCTAGCACAAGAAGAACAGGAGTTTAAAATGGATTCACAGAAGTAGGTGTGGGACAGGTCCTTAACAAAGTACACATATAGATTTTTTTTCCTAAAGATAATAAGAAACCAAAGATTTGTTTTAAGCAGATAAATTACATAAGCAGCTTTCTATTTGAATAAGGTTAACTCTGACCAGTGTGACGAATGAATTAGGGGAACAATTTTCATATCCAATAATGGGACTTAGGGCATTCAGTCCAACCCCCAGGCCAAAACTAAAAATGATGGATACATGTTTTTAAACCATCCTAAAACCATCCAGCTAGGCAAAAACTGAGGATAAAGCTGGAACACAGTAGTAACCAGAAACAACTTCTAATCTGAAAAGATTAGATTCTGGCTTTTTGGCCTCAAGAGAGGGGAGTGAAATCAAAGCACAGACCTGCCTAAGATCTAAGAGAAGATCTGTCCACATTAATCTGGATCCCCAAATGCAAAACCTTCACCGTAAGAGTAAGCTAGAAGTAAACTGGTCCTCACATGGATTTGTGATCCACATTCACATCACTCATTTGTTCTAGGAAACACAAGCCGCTAATTAGTTTAAAGAAGCCCTGGCATGTGATCAGCACCATAGGTGCTGAAAACCATTTGACCAAATTCAATAACCATTCTTAAATTAAAAAAAAAAGTGCCCCCAATAAGAATTGATAAGTGCTACTTCAATATAATTTTATTTTATATTATAATGACATCATCAATGGAAAAGCATTAGCAGTAGCCTCACTAAACTCAGAAACAAGATAGACTTCCCAAGGGTCATCATCTATAGCTAACATTACATTAAAGTATATTAGGCAAGAGAATGATATTAGATGGCATATGAATTGAAAAGAAAGAGGTTAGAAAAAACCACTATTTGCATTTGATATGACTATTTATCTGGAAAACCCAAGGAAATTAACCACAAAACAATAAGAAAATTTCATAAGGGAGCAGAAACAGCTATTAAAATACAGAAACCATTAGTCATCATACACGTAAACAAAATCTGTTAAACAATATAATGGAAAAGAAGAAATCATTTTCAAAAGTGATAAAAAATTAGAATACCAAATAGTAAACTTAACAAGAAACATGTAAATTTTATTTGAGAAAAACCTGAAAATATTTCTGAAGGACACAAAAGCAGACTTGAACAAAAGAAATATATATTATTATTTTGGACAGTAAAAAACCAACAACATAAGTATATCAATTTACACGAAGTTAAATTATAAAGTTTATGATCCCAATAAAAATCCCATCGGGCTTCCCTGGTGGCCCTGGTGGCACAGTGGTTAAGAGTCCACCTGCTGATGCAGGGGACACGGGTTCGTGCACCGGTCCGGGAAGATCCCACATGCCGCGGAGCGGCTGGGCCCGTGAGCCACGGCCACTGAGCCTGCGCATCCAGAGCCTATGCTCCGCAACAGGAGAGGCCACAACAGTGAGAGGCCAGTGTACCGCAAAAAA